GAATGTTATGAGTTAATCTAAGTTTTTAAATGCAGCCAATCATAGAAAACACGTGACTTAGGCAAAGACAGGGTAAATGAAAAGGAAACAGGATTTACAAAAGATACTCTGGAAAGCACTCTGGAAACTCTCCTAATCCAAGTAGAATATTTTATTCACTTTGCATAAATTGTAGGCAAGAACATTTTATGGGGGGCAAAGGACTTAACACTGTGACATAGGTTTTTTCTAATAGCTATATTTAAATACCTAAAACTAACTTACAAAAAAGACTAGAAGTCTGTGGGCAAGAATTTATCCTGAGAAAAAACTCAAATATGGAATAAGCTATATCACAGTATTGTTATAGTTATTATTCATAATAGCAAAAATATAAAATTATCTAGATGATGATCAAGAGGAAAATGGTTAAGTGATGTACGTGCATTCTGACACAGCCATTAAAATATGTTAGTACTTTAGCAACATGTAAAAGTACTCAAAATAATGCTAAATGGAAAAAAAAAGGAGCAAACAAAACTATATGTACAATAGGATTACAATAATATAAAAATAAGGATTGGAGGAAAAACTAAATGAAAGTGTATTGAAACAACAGTGATGTGCTTTCATCTTCTCTCTGTTCCAATGTTTTTGCAATACATTGTATTAATAACTAGCCAGCTACCTCTACCTCCTACCCCACTTAAAACATACACATGCACACACAAAGAACAGCCAAAACCTAGGGCAAAATTTAGCAGCATTAACATTCTTCACTGTTGCACTGAACACTCTGTGTTGCACTGAAGAGATAATATTCTAGACTATTAATAATAATACCTAGCATCTAAAATATAGCATTATCCACTAAAGCTGAATCACCAGACTTCTCTAAGTTTAAAGTCTGGTTACTTGAAGATGTGGCCATCTGTTCTTAAGTGACACCTAGAAAGGAAAACTATCAACAATGGTAGTAAAATGCTTCTAACAAATATATTTGGTTTTGGTTTTCTTTATCCACTAAAACAAATAATTTTAACAAAACAAGAATGCTATAGTGTCGTGCTTCAAAAACCATGCCCAACAGTTCTCTAGAGAGTAAATAAGTCTACATGTTGGTACAGTGTATGTTGTAAAGTGGGCATGTCACCATATTTCACATAGTTTCCATCTTTTAGGGCAGAACTGTTCTTTTTAAAATCAGAGACATTTAGATTTCTGTGTCCTCCAACATATGGGAGGCATCACAATTCTCGTTTAAAAAAACTATGAGAACCAGCGCAATAGATTGTTTTCTAAGAAAAGTGGTGGGAAGTAGTGGGAAATGTGTTTGAGCTGATTTTTACCGCCAGAATAGGTGAGCCAAAAAAACGGGTTGTCTACTGAGAGCCACACGTCAAGAATTACTAAATATATCAGGGTTAAATTTTTACAGTTGAAAATTAATTAGGAGAGTTTATATTCTTTTATAATCGTTTTATGTAGACAAATTTACTTTTAAAAATCCTTAACAACCACAAGCTTTAATGATATTAATGCTGTCAATGCTTCTTTCTCATGGCCAGCTCTTACATGTTTAGTCTTTGAATTTTAAATTCAAGAAAGAGAAAGACAAATATTTCATAGAGGAATAGAATTCTCCAAGAGCCAGATTATGTTCACAGACTACAGAAACTCTACTTCCTTTAAATAAAAAGACCTTTTCCTACTTTGAGCACTAAATTGGAATTTTTCTGTCAACTGGCATACGCATTTTATATTTGAATTAAACATTTTATATTTTAAGAGTTCTGTTTAGACTTAACTACGATCATTAGATGAAATGCAGTTGTGCAAGACCAGTTTTCATTATAGATCATTATAGATTTAAAAGGCAGTATCTTCATTGTAGAATGAGTCTGTTATAACTTTCTGTTACAGTCCAATAATTAGGACTACAAATATAATTCTTAAAATATCTATAAAGGCACGTACAACCGTGTGATCCGAAGACTTTCCAAAGTTAGTCTTTACTAAATAACTAAATCATAATTCTCTTTAAGTATTTATTAATTTTTGATATTTTTATGGTACTATTAACAGGAAAGTTTCCCAACCTACAAGCCTTGAAATATTTACAAAAATATGGTTTTATGAAAATACCATTTAAAGACAAAATACAATCATGTTCTGGAGAAGCAAGAGAAGGAAGGCTGTACTAACTAATGAAATGACTAAAATGGGAGCCTGGGAGCCTACGTGTGAATTAACTGTATTCTGTCTACCTTTTTGTCACTCACCTCTTTCAACTTGATATTGGGTCACGGATTTCTACCTCCTCACAAACTACACTCCAATTTTAAAGAAAATTTAATCCCCTAACCAACATTATTTTCTCGTGACTGGCTACATTAGTCAACAAAAGCAGCCCTAAAAATGGAACAGCTTGATATGAGAAGCTGAGACCATGCATTAGGTTTCTTATTCCCTGAAAGCAAACCTGTTCAACAATGCCTCACACCTCTCAAACTGCTTCAGGTAATTCCTCAGAAATTATATTCTGAGAGTTGCTGTCAATTAATGCTCTCTGGAGAGAAATTTTCTTGGGTTTACTGGGAACAAATTCATTAACTAAATTCCCCAACCACTTATTAATAAAACAACTACAAAGAGATTTTATGAGCACATTTGGTATCAACCAACTAGCTCTCTTATCCAGACCCATTTCCCATCTTAAACCTTACAATCTGGTTTCTAAAATCATTTCTCAAACTGCACCCAGGGAATCAAATCCTCACCAAAATCGAAGACTTTTTTTTTTTTAAAAGATTTTATTTATTCATTTGAGAGAGAGAATGAGATAGAGAGAGCATGAGAAGGGGGGAGGGTCAGAGGGAAAAGCAGACTCCCCGCTGAGCAGGGAGCCCAGCCCGATACAGGACTCCAATCCCGGGACTCCAGGATCATGACCTGAGCCGAAGGCAGTCCACCTAACCAACTGAGCCACCCAGGTGCCCTCGAAGACCTTTTTTAAAGTCTTCAACCTACCTCTCCCACTTCTGGAAATGCCTCTTATATTCCCCCCAAAGCATAACTACCCACAATTCCTCTGACTTCTTGGGTAACTTTTTTCCCCCTCATTTATTTCTCTCTGCCAAACTCAAGATCTCTATGGTTAAGAGCACAGACTCTGGACTCAAAATGCTCAGACTGAAGTCCTGACTATACACTTACTCTCTGTGCATGAACATAGGCAAGCTACTTAACTTCCACATTCTTGGGTTCTCCTATTTGTACTAACAGTCCCTATTTCAAAGAAACTGAGAGGATTAAATACAAGCACACACACAAGTGAATACAAGTAAAGCATTTATAACAGAGCCTTGCATAAAAAAGCTAACTAAATGCTGGCTCTTAGTGGCCTTGGCAACGAGGCACGTGCAGGCTCATAGGTACTAGCAGCTGCTACCGCTACCTCTATAAGACTTAATCTTCTGGAGAAATCAGCCGCTCCCTCGGATTTAATCAAAGGCTTCCACCTTAGGCTACTGACTCCTTTAAAAAGCTTTAGTTTCTTTTCCACATTCTTAGAAGACAATTTAATTCGGAAAGCTCATGATTGACCAAATTCAAAGTATCTAAGCAAACTCATCACTCCACTCCATTCCTCAACGTCCCCATTTAGATTTCCTGTTCTGACTTCTCACTATTCATTCAATCTCCTAAGCTTAAAACCTTGGAGTCATCTTAGACTTCTACTATTCTTCTGCCCCTGCAAGTTGATCAGACACCAAGTTCTACAGATGCACTCTTCTTCTCTTTCCTAGATTCATGCCAGCCAAGGTGGCCAGAGCGCCCAATCCCTCACACCCAGATTTCTGCCTTTGCTTGTAGGTCTGACTTCCCACTTCATTTTTTTTCTACGTAAAACACTACTGGTTTCCTGTTGCCTTGTACACCAAAATCTAAGCTCAACGATTCACCTTTTAAGATTTTAACAGTTCTTTCAGATCCAACTTTATTTCCCACTTGAACAAGAACTGTTTGCAGCTGATTAATACATCCACTCTAGTCATTGGGCCTGCAATGCCCTTGTAAGTAATTGGAATGTATGCTGCCCCCACCTCTCTGCTTAGGCCCATTCTATTCATTCCTCCAGAGGCCCAACTCAAAACTCATACCCTAGGGGCACCTGGGTGGCTCAGTATTTAAGCATCTGCCTTCAGCTCAGGTCATGATCCCAGGGTCCTGGGATTGAGCCCCACATCGGGCTCCCTGTTCAGCAGGAAGCCTGCTTCTCCCTCCCACTCCCCCTGTTTGTGTTCCCTCTCTGGCTGTCTCTCTGTCAAATAAATAAATAAAATTTAAAACAAAAACAAAAACAAAAACACCTCACACCCCCACTAACCTGAAATGCTCCTTCACTCTGCTCTCTCCTCTCTTTCCCAGCATTACTCAGTATCGTACCTTGTAGAACACTATGCAGGTCTCCACACTTTCACAGCCTAGCATTTTATTATGTCAAAACATAATTCCGTTATGTTAAAAGGCTTATCTTATACTTTATCTTATATTTTTTGTTTACTCTTTTGTTTACTCTAGAGCATCTATCTACAAGGTAGCATTTATTTAATATATACTATGCTGTGCCTACTTGGGGAATTCCAAAAGTGTAAACCTGAATTTTGATACTCCAAGGCAGTAGTCAGCAAACATTTTTGTAAAGGGCCAAATGGTAAATATTTTTGGCTTTGCAGGCTACGTATGGTCTCTGTCACATATTCTTCTTTTTTTCAACTACATAAAAATGTAAAAAGCATGCTAAGCTTGAGAGTCCTATAAATGGGCCGTGCATGGGCTGGATTTCACCCACAGGCCATGGTTTACTAGCCCCTGCCCCCTCTAAGGAACAGTTCAGTATCTTATACAAAATCTCTGTATCTGTATCAATTTTAACTAATTTTTCTAAATGTTGGTTGGTCAGCACTTTACATGACTTTCGAGTTCTAACATAAAACAAATAATCCCTGAGTTCTTACCAGCTCTTTCAGACTTTTCTTTCTGTTCCCGTAACTCCTCTCCCTGGGTAGTCATCTGTTTGATGCGACTACGGAGTTGAGCAATTTCTTCTTCTTTCATTTCCAAGGTTTCATGCATCTGACGTTTTGTCTCTGCTATTACCATTCCCTAAACAGAAGTGCAGACACTGAAGTGTTTACATAACAAAACTGTATCATCAATAGCAAACTTACTTAAAAGGCAGAAAACATAGTATTTCTTACTAAGTACAGCATAAGAATTATTTTAGTATTTCACAAACTGAAGTCTGTGTTCTGCACTCTATACTACACTACATAGTATCACAACTCTGGTTACCTGGCAGATGAGGATTATTTGTTAATATAAAAAATTATTTTAATAGTAAGTTTAGTCTTTTGAGTATTAAAAACACATTTTAATTAAAAGTGTTACTTTATAATCTTTCTATAAATGTTTGCTATAATTTTCCCTATCTTAGTGAACAGTTTATAATGAACGAAATATAGCCTTCTGTACTTGGCTCAGGGCCACCATGAACTATGTTACTGATCTCTGCTGGAACATGCGGAGAGCCTCAGAGGCTACTGAGGGTAGACGGTTACGCTGCCACAAAGATGGGCCAAGCCTGTGGTACAGATCTACCTGCTTTTTCTTGTTTCTCTTATGACAGTCTCTGGTCCCACCGCCATTCCTCACTACTGTCAGGGAGGTACCCCCACTCCTCCAATTTGCTAACTGCTACTGTCTGCAAATTGTCTGCTAACTGCTACTGCTTCCCACCCTGGATAATCTACACATAAAATGAAGGTCACTAGGGGGAAAATATTATATCCTGAATCAGTCATTTGTGACTAACAAAAAACAGGATGATTCAACTTGTCTCTTGAAAAATAAGATTTTTGTGACAGCTATTTTATGGTCTTAAGAAGATTATTACTTTACTTGCAGGGTTTGTCAAACCTTGGCTTAGGGTTTGACTCTTCCAGATGGCTCATATTAATGGACAGATAAAAACCAGGTAAGTGGGGATTACACAAAATTTCAAAACAAGATCGCTGGGCTTCAGTTTCTTCAAAAACCAAATCACAATGGAGAAAAAGAGACACGGAGAGACAGAGGCAATGGAACCTATAGATTAAAAGAAGTCTTAAGAGTCATATCAACCAATTACAGTGAAAGAAACTTACTTAGATCGTGATCCATAAAAATGGAAAAAAGGTATGAGACAAAAGGCAAATCTGAAACTGATTAGTTGATGGTATTAAGGACTTATTAAATTTTTGGATGTGATCATGATAGTTACATTTTTATAAAAATAAAGAGTCCTTTATTTTAAAACTACATCAAAATACTTATGTAAGAAATTATGAGATTTCTTGAATTTGCTCAACAAGAAAATAAATTCTGGGTTGAGGATAGATAATAAAGGCTGGGCATGTACAGATAAAACAACATTAGCCTTGAGATATTAACTGTTGAAGCTGGGTGGTGGGTTCACTTTTTTTAAGTGGGCCTTCACGAAGTGTGCGGAGTAGAATCTAACAAAACGACATCATAGAATCCAAAGACTGCTAATACGTTTCAAAAAGCAGAACAGCCCTGACATGTTCTTAATTGCATGGCCACTTAAAATACTGTAGCGGTAAAGTGGCATACTGAAGAAAACGCTGGACAATGCGAACCAACTGGGAGCTGCTTTAGAAAAAGAACCCAAACACCTGAGGCTGAAAGACTTAGCGCAAAAGCGTCTGCCCATGAATTTTCAGTTGCCTCTGCTGCCATCACCACAGCTGCTGTTCTACCGCTACACTGCCAATCTCACCTGAAAGGAGTCCCAAAATTCACCTGCAGAAACTTCTGTTTACACTAATATATATACTACCACTTCTTCACTTTAGACAGCGTATCTGAGAGATTCTTCTGTTTCCGCTGAAGACAATATGTAATATCATTCACATTTAGTAATGCCTTAACTATAAAAAATTCAACTTTTCTCTGAAAAGTAGGTAGGTACTGTAAACAGATTTCTTTTGCAATAGCTATTCTAATCTCTGAATCAAAATGCTGACTGGGATCAAAAAATCACAGAGAATCAGCTTCACGTGATACACAACTAATGCTAACTGTTACTTAAATTTCAAACTTACAACAAAAAGATTTTTCATGGAAGCAAGCTACAAATAACTTTGGAAAGCATAAGCCTGAATGCTTCTAACTGCTTCCAAAAGGGAATGCTGGGGCCCCCTGACAAATTTTAGTATCGTAAGGTTTATTGGTTTACCTTATCTTGTTCAAGCTGTTCAATTAAGTTCTTTGCATCACGCAACTGAGTGATAAGTTTAGTCTTCTCAGCCATATGAAGCTCCTAAAAAAATTTTAAAAATTCATTTCCAACTCTAATAACGCTTCTCCTCGTATGAGAACTCTAAACATTTTATCGAATTTGGATATTTCTCAGTCCAGTAAGAGCCAAGTATACAGGAAGTCAGAAAAGGATGGTGCAAGTGCTCTGAAGCCCAGGGTGCGCGGGAGTTGTCTCCGTGCTTTCTATGGAGGGAGGGGAAGGCTCTGCAGAGGAGGGAGGTGCAGGCCACGCTGGGACCTGTGGATCTGGCTTCACAGGGTTACATAAACCAACCTCATTTGCTCTTTTACCTTCATCTTTTCTAGCTCTTGAAGCCTTTCATCTAGTTGTTCTTGCAGGGCTTCTTTTTCACTGGTTAAGAGCGCACACTGTTCCTTATGTGACTGAATGGTTTCCTTACAACGCTGCAGAAGATTCTCTTGCCGCTTAACTCTCTGCTGAAGTACCGCCAGTGTTTTAGCAGAAGCTCCATCTACCACTATCAACAATAAAGCAGCACAGGCAGGGGTGGTCAGTAAGGAATAGAAGGGCTCCCTGGGAACAGTTACTCTGTTAGTACACAGGGGTGTATTCCCACCCCAACGCTCTGAGCCAGACGGAGAAGGGAAGGGTACCCTTCCCAACTTCGACTCTCACTATCTGTATGATCCATATCCCAAAAAGCTGAGGAGCACAGTCACCTCCCTAGGGTTCAGGCCCACCACAAATGGCACAAAACACTCAGTAGTCAACTAACATTAACTGAATTCACCCTCCTTAAAAGACAGTTTGATAACCATCTTTTGTTATTCAAAAGTGCCCTCTGTGTCCTGGCTCCCATCCCTAAAAGACTAATAAAGAATTTTTTTCCAATGCATTCTAATCTGTCCCTGAGAGGAGTTCTGGTTAAGTACAGCTTTCTACATTCTCCACACATTTATGAGTTAAGTTTTCATACCCTAAGGGACTCTCAGGACCCTTTATAGCCTGGTTGCTCAGACAGCTGCTCAGCACCTTGCTCTGGCTCTGGCTGGACTAAAAGTTTATCATAAATGTCTTTGAGAGAAAGAGCCAGTAAATAAAAAGTGGGAATTTTACTGAATATGTACCTTAAAGCCTCAAAAAATATGGAGGGCTATAACTGGATTTTGAGACAAAATTTAACTATTTCTTCCTTTCTAATTAGAAACCAAATAATAGACTATAGATATCTTTGAATGTAGAAGTATGTAAGCAATATTACTCAAAAACTAAAACAGCCAAACAATGAAAATAGCAAATTCATTCATCTTAAACAGAACTGACCTGTATATATGAAATCTAGCTACTGCTATCAATAAAACAGTGTAATATAATGAATTTTAGTATACATGCTGCTGAAGAGAACACTAGAATGAATTTTAGTTACAACGAAAATGTGGTGCTACACACAGACTTTCAAGTCTTAACACAATTACTTAGCTTTGTTCTCCTGAAGAACAATAACAAGCAAAGAAACAAAACAACAAAAACTCTTGCATCTTCCTGGAGGATACTTCTACCTCAGCCCACATCATGCCCTGGAAACTATCAACATCCTCCTCTAGCTTTTAAATTAACCTTTCGACAAGATGAAGCTTACCTGCTGGCTCTATATCACCGTCTGTGTTCTCTTTAGAAACACCTTCAGCCTGTGGTTCCATCTGAGGGAATGGTTTTGCTAAATCAACATTCATTGGGCCATTTCGTAACCGCTGTTTCAGCAGAGAAACCTAAAAAAGAAAGGTGCCTTAGGAAAAAAAAAATGAGGGGCACCTGGGTAGTTCAGCTGGTTAAGTGTCTGACTCTTGGTTTTGGCTCAGATCATGATCTCAGGGTTGTGAGATCTAAACTAAACCCTGCCTTCTGGCTCCGTGCTGGGTATGGAGCCTGCTTAAGATTCTCCCTCTCCGTCTGTGCGGAACCCCCCCAACTCTCACTCTAAAAAAGAGAGGGAGAGGGAGAGAGAGAAAGAAACTACACAGTAGTACTTTAAAACACGGGGGCGGGGGGAGCGCCTGGATGGCTCAGGTCAGGATCCCAGTGTCCTGGGATCGAGCCCCGCATCGGGCTCCCTGCTCAGCGGGAAGCCTGCTTCTCCCTCTCCCTCTCCCCCTGCTTGTGTTCCCTCTCTCACTGTGTCTCTCTCTGTCAAATAAATAAATAAAGTCTTAAAAAAAATAAAATAAAACAAAACACAGAGGGGACAGAGTAAAAGATACTCTTTATCATTATACTGGGAGGAAAAATCAAAATAAAATGTTTACTCCCAATGAAGTTGATTTTTATATTTGCTATTTTCAATGATATCATAGTTAGCCAAAAGACAAAATACATTAAAAAAATATACTGAAAAGCAACTAAGAAAAAGCAAGAGTTTTAAAAATAGGTCATTTTGTAACATTTGGAACCTATGAGATATCCCATCAAATCCCCTTTAATTCTTCTTTATCTAAAAATTCCACTCTTTTTCTTTTACTCTTTTACCTGAGTCTGGAGAACACTGATATGCTGATCTTTTTCCTCTAAAGATGCATCAAACTCCTCTTGTAGATGCTTTTTTGCTTGCTGATCCATTTGGAGCTCCTAAAACATAAAAGGTTTTGTAAGTAGTTTTCAATAAAAAAAAAAAAATACAAACTTGAAGTTTTCAAAGTTTAAAAACATGATCAATACAGATTTGCATTTTTCTTAAGATGAGGTATCAGCACAATAATTAGAGAAGAATCAGCAGGTAAAACATTGGTATTTATCCCAGCGGATAATTCTGTTCCTTAAAAAATATGAGATCCAAGAAAAGAAAGTATATTTTTAGAGCTGTAATGACTGCTCTGTAATGATAATGTGGAGAGGATAAAACAATTAAGATAAAAAAAACTGTATCCTACTTTAAGACATATTACTACGTGTGCTACCTTATATGCACTTGATCTAAAAGTACATTGTTTTATACCAAACAGATAGCCATAGCCAACAGAACTTTCCTCCTCCCAATACACAACAGCAGTCAATAGCCAAAGTCAGAAGATTCCTCATTTGTAAAATGAAAAGTTTGAACTAGCTGATTACCAAACAGAAAAATTCCAAGTTCCTGAAATTATTTAGAATGCTACTCTCTTTAGGTCATTAATGAGGTTTCCTCACTAAATCCAATGATCTTTACCTCTCCATTACACTAGTCACCAGTAAGTCCCTCCTCAGCTGAGATACCCGCTCTCTGCGGCTTCAGGCTCCTGTCTACATTTGTATCTCTGAATTTCCTCTATCTGCCTCACGGATTCTATGGGCATCTATCCCCCTGGACTCAGTTTGCGTCCTCGGTCCTTCTTCCTTACACTTACTCCATTAGAATCCTAGAGAATAATATCTGGAACATAGGAAATATCCCATCAAAATCCCTCTATTTTTCTAGGATTCCTACTTTTCTAATTCCCTGAGCTCAAAATATTCAGTCACAGTTTACCTAACTTTGTCAATCCCTGCATATAATCAAATTCTTGTATTACTTTTTCTACAATGTTTAAGTCCTATCTTTTCCACATCCATAACCATAGTCCAGATCTTTATCATTTCAATGACTAATTTCCTTCGGTAGCCTTCTAGAGAGAATTCTTACCCCAAGTCTTCCTCTGGTTTAATCCATCCCTTACACATTTGCTAGAAAATTTTCCTCAAACAATATTTTCAAGGACTTACAAGCAACGCCCTCCTTTTGCATTGTTTCAAATTTACTAACTCTCAAAACACTGAAGCACTAACTGTCCTCTATTCTCCCCCACACCTACACTGCCCTAAGATCCCATTTGCACTGTTCCTCTCACTAAAGACTCCTGGCTTGACTCCTCCCACAGCAGTAGTCTCCAAATGCCAGTCTTTGAATCAGTACAAGTCCAGAATGAAGTCTTCACTGACCCATGGTGAAATAACAAACAGAAAAGCAACAGAGAGAGTTTTTCTTTCATTTAAACAACTGTCCTTTACTCTGAGAATATGTCCTTCCTCATCTTTCTTGATATTAAAAAAAAATCTTTCCCAGGGCGCCTACCTGGCTCAGTTAGAAAAGCATGTGAATCTTGATCCCGGGGTCCTGAGATGGGTGTAGAAATTACTTAAAAATTAAAAAAAAAGAAAGAAAGAAAGAAAGAAAAAGCTTTCTTTCATGAAATAATGACAATAAAAGAATTTGGTTTCTTCAACATCCTTACTTGAAAAAATAAAAGTTTGCAGCTCTGGGGAGGCTGGGTAGCTCAGCTGGTTGAGCATCAGGCTCTTGGTTTCAGCTAAGTGGCCAGTCGGCTTGAGATTCTCTCTCTCCCTCTGCCCCTCCCCCACATGTGCACACACTCTCTCGGGCTCTCTCTCAAATAAATAAATAAATCTTTAAAAGAAAGTTTGCAGGTCTATGACAATTCTCCTTTCCCCCATATCTGGAAGGAACTGGAAGGTAGTTTTTTCAGTCCATGAAATCCAAAAGTCTGGAAAGCACTATCTTCCATGACTTTGCATAGGCCAATTCTTTAGTATGAAACAGTTGCACATCTCCTTAATAGTAATGCGGTCCTTTACTTTCCTTAAAATTCATTTTTTCCAAATAATTTTCTACATCCTACCATACTAGACTCTGTTACATGCCATCCCTAACAGCCAACAAAAATTCCTCAATTTATATGATGGTTTTCAGGTTTTAAAACGTTTTCATCTCCCCATGTAGATAAGAAGTCCTTGGATACAATGGCAGCATCTTTAATCATATCTTCTTCTCCCTCCCCCTGCTACCTTACCCTATTCTACCAAAAAGCACTCCACAAACAGTAAAGACTACAAAGAAACTTAAGAACTGTCTACTTAGGGGCGCCTGGGTGGCTCAGTCCTTAAGCGTCTGCCTTCGGCTCAGGTCATGATCCCAGGGTCCTGGGACAGAGCCCCACATCGGGCTCCCTGCTCCACAGGAAGCCTGCTTCTCCCTCTCCCACTCCCCCGGCTTGTGTTCCCTCTCTCACTGTGTCTCTCTCTGTCAAATAAATAAATAAAATCTTAAAAAAAAAAAACTACTTATATCCCAACTAATTAACTGTTTATTTTTTATCTCAGCCTTAATGTTACCCATTATGTTTGGTTGTGTTTCAAGGTGAGAAACATGAACCCTCCCTCCCTGAAGTTAGCTTTGAGAACAGCAGTTGCTCGTAGCGAGCTGCATCTGGGTGAGCCTAGAAAAAGAACACACCATGCACAGACAGAAGGACAGAGAAAGGAGGAAATATCTAAAATAATGTCTTCACTTATTCCCCACTTAACTGGCCTTAAAAGGAAATCAGAGAACCCCCCATCTATTTGGATGAGCTCATAATTTTCATAGCTTCTCATAGTATGATATTCCTATTTATTATGTTTTGATGTTAAGATTCAAAATCAGGCGAAGAAAACTACAGGGTATCTGTTGGGGTATGTTTTCGCTTACCTTTTTACTTCTTTATCTGATTCATTAACAAATCTCTAATATGCTAGAAACTGACATAAGACATAATATTTGCCTATACAGAACTGTTGTTTTCTTTCATTCCCTAGAAAATATTAGGAGAGATGTTCATGGATTCTACTCGTGCATATACTCATAACAACATGAGGAATATATAAAATACTAAGGACTATCTTCTGAAAAAAAATTTTTTTTTCTTTTTACTGCCCATGGTATTTGTTAGTTGTTTACTTATAAAGGGAAACTATTCCATAACCCAAACAGGTCAGTGACAAACTTCCATGGAACTCAACCCAAAAAAATTCTTTACATTCCAAAATTATTTTACACCCTGAGTGATACCAGCCTTCTTCATCTCCTCAAACTCTTTCATGGAATCATAATTTCTGTAGAAATCTGCATATGCCTTCTTTCTTGGTTCGGCCACAGCAGACTTACAGAATGCTGCAACCCCCGGGGATACAGTGAACACTCCAACAATATGAAATCGCAGATGCTTGGCCAGAAGGCCTCGCATCTGAGGTTTCGTCAGAGCACGGGAAGTCATGGTAGTTACTCTCCTCAACACCAACCTCAAACCCAACATCTTTCCTGATACCTTGAGTATCTTGATATAACAAAATAGGGAACATTATACTGTTTTGCCCCAGTCTAAGTCAATAAAGTACTAATGAAACAGTATGTAACTTCTATTCGGACTTTAATTCCAAAGAAACAGAACATTTTATGACATATAGCACTTCGAATGTTCAATTAAATACTAGTCATGATTTAATGGGTTATACTATTTAGTTGAAGGAAATTTTTTTCTTTGTGAACAAAATTTAAAATATCCAGACCTTCACTTATCTACCTACTATTTACATATAAATTACTGAATAAATCTCTCTTCATGTAACTGTAACCAGGATTTTGATTCAGAAATATATCTTAGCTACTACAACAGTATAGATATGCACCAAACAGCAATTTACTATATGGCCTCTAGACCCCTTATTTCTCCTCCTTTCCTTTATAAGCTGTCTCCTGGCCATTTCGTTGATTATAGTCTTGACTAAAGGCAGTGTGGTAGGCAGAATATGGCCCCAAAGATTCCAAAACCTAATCCCTGAAACTGGAACATATTAGGAGTATTTGCAGATGTGATCAAATTAAGAGCCTTGAAACAAGGAGATTATCCTGGATTACCTGGGTGGGACCAATCTAATAACATGGGTCCTTAAAATCAGAACCTTTCCCAACTGAGTTCAGAGAGAAGGGGAGGAGTGATTATGGTAGAATGGGCAGAGATGCAACATTGATAGCTCTGAAGATAAGGAAAGAGACTATGCATCAGAGGACGTGGCAGCCTCTAAAAGCCGGAAATGGCAAAGAAATAGATTGTCCCCTTGAACCTCCATTAAGGAACGGCCCAACTGACACCTTAATTTTAGCCTGGTAAGACTTGTGTCAAATTTCTGAGATTTGTGTTGTTTTAAGCCATTAAGTTTGTGGTAATTTGCTGCAGCAGCAATAGAAAACTAATATGAGTAGGCAGATAATAAAAAAAGAACTAAGGGCGCCTGGGCGGCTCAGTTGTTAAGCGTCTGCCTTCGGCTCAGGTCATGAGCCCAGGGCCCTGGGATCGAGCCCCACATTGGGCTCCCTGCTCGGCGGGGAGCCTGCTTCTCCCTCTCCCACTCCCCCTGCTTGTGTTCCCTCTCTCGCTGTATCTCTCTCTGTCAAATAAATAAAATCTTAAAAATAAAAAATAAAAATAAGTAAAAATAAAAAAAGAACTAAAACTTATCAATCTGTGGCTCTGACTAGTATTTCCTACGAGGGTTTTCACAAGGGTTAAAAGGGAAAGAATACATATTTAATGGCTTATGATCTAACAGTATAGATATGGAAAAAGATTTTTAAAGGTGGAAAACAGAAATAGTATATAAAAATTTATTTAATCTCAGTAATCATAATTGATGGTGATAGTATTGTTATTCTAAGAGTGTTGTGTTTATAATGCTGGAATAAGGCCAATGAGTCATTTGGGGTCTTCTAATTTATCATCAGGTTCTTCAACAGGTGACCTGTAACGAAAACAGATGCAGCAGGGATATATAGATTTAAAGAAGACTTAAAAGATGTATCAAAACAATTTTTACATGGGCATGACTGTAGTACCTAGAGGCTCACATTTCGGTGATAAAACCTTAAAGAGACACAAGGAAGCACAACAAAAGTCAGTAGTTATTTTTGGAGAAAGGGAGGGGCTATGACTGGCCTGGGAAACACAGAGGGGCTCTCAGGGTGACTGGCGACATTCTATTTCTTGGCCTTAGTCATGGTTACAAGAGTGTTCACCATATACATATAAGCTATATATTTTTGTGCATGATTTTCTAAATTTGTGGTACTTTACAATTAAAATATTTTTACAATTAAAAGATTTCAAAATGTTTAAATGATATCACAGTGACATAGAATCCTACCCGCTAGCCAATATTCCATCCTTCTCAAGACCGGACGGGAACATAAATGAGTCAAGTATGATTCCAAATGATAAATATCTGCCTGGACTCTAATATTTCACTGTAAAAATTATCCCCCAAAATTACAAGGAACATAATTTTTATTTAATTTTATCAAGATTGTTGGCTAGGAACAATGAAAAGAAGCCTCAAATACCTAATAGAAGAGACAGGTTAGCCTTGGAAGTTGCCACTGACTGTCAAGCTGGCAAATGATATTCTGTTGCTAAATAAGGCATTCTTATGTCATAAATTCCACCAGCATATATCTTAGGGAAACCACACAAATAAAACCATAAGAACTGATCTCTGGTCTTAGGGGTTGGGCTGATTGGTTTTTACTATAACTAATGAAGTGAATATGAAACTATCCCAACAAGTATAAGAGTTCCGATAAAAATGAGAGATTTAATTCTCAAATAATCACTACGACTTACCTCTCTTAACTCTCCAATTCTCCGAAGTGCTTTATCTTGACTCTGACTTAATATACCCTTTAATTTTAAAAAGAAAAAAAAAAGCTGGTTCAAATAACTGCATGACATAGTAATGAAAAGCAAGTAAAAAAGAGCACAAGTCATTGAACTTTATCTTCAACATTCTTTACACTGGGACTATACAACCACAGTTCTCTACAGTTCTCTACCGCCACTTAGTGGTAGAATTACATACATCTAGAAATAAAACTCGAGAGACAATTCATAGAGACCCAAGCAAGGTACCCCCAAACAGTAGGAATAAGTGGGAATAAGATGAACTTTTAAGCATGAATTTATGGAATATTAATAATACAATGGATTAAATCAGAGCTACCCTCCATTTCAAAAGACCTCATGTTTAAGAGAACACTGTCAAACTAAAAACTCTATTTGTAATAATCTAATTTTCACACTTGTTATAGACAATGAGAACACTGAATCAGCAATAAATAACTGGTGTTACCAATTCTGAACTGATTATACTCCAGAACAAAGCCAGGAAATTTAATGTTGTACTTAATGGAGATTATTTATGGTAGATTAAATATTTTAAGATAATGTACATGGGGAAATTAATTTTACCAAAATTCACTTTACAAATAACTTTTTGGTTATGTAATTAGTGTTTTTAGATGGGACAAAATGCTAAACTGTTTTAAATAACTTCTACTGTAAAAAATAAGACTATATTTTTTGTGCATGATTTTCTATATATTTTACCATTAAAAGATTTAAAAATGTTTCTAAGTGATACAGCAGAGATACAGAATGCTATCCCCTAACAAATATAAGAATATAATTCTCCATCCTTCTCAAGACAGGACAGAAGCAGAAATTAGTAAAGCATTATTCTAAATGATAAATATTTATGTATCTTAGCACAGCAAACTGATGGGACTGTTTGAAGTGGAGTGGATACTTCCCCTTAGCTCTGACCTGTGAATTATCACCTGGGCTACCTGGTGGGAAATGTCTAGCCATGGAACAGGGTGACACAGTGGGGCCAAGGTGGGTCACCCAGAAGAGCTTAATGGCTTCCTCCTTCTCCACATACTTGACCAAGAGCTTTACAAGAAGCAGCCTCAGGAAAAAAGAGAGAGGATGCTTGTGTTCGGACCCTGATAGAATGATATGGAACAGAAATGTCTGCAGGTATTTCAAAAACAGAAGGGAAAGCTTAGAAGGTTGCATGTCTCTACAACTAAAACAAAGATTCAACCTGCAGACCAAGACACTAGAAAGCATGTTTGAAGAGGCAAACATGCCTTAAATCCAAACCTCTTGAACATTGCCGTGATCCAAAACAAAAAAAGCCCATCCCTACCAGAGGTAAAATCTCTGGAATTTTCCACTCACTCTCTTTATTAAAATCGCCAGTAGTAAAATAGGTTAAATACATGGATCGCATGGAGAATTATTAAAAGTGAGGGTCAGAACTATCTTACGATAAGACTCTAATTTTTAAATTATGTATGAATCAATATCACAGCCAAGATATCACTTACTTGTAACTTTTTCTTCTCTCTCTGAAGAGTCTGATAAGCTATAACAGACTAAAATAAAGACAAAATCACCAATAACATCAGTCATTCCTAAATAAATATTCTAAACTCTGCTAAAATATCTTTACAAAAGTAAAAAAATACACAAATCGGAAGAATCCTTTTATAGATAATTCAACCTAGATGCATATACAGTCAAAACAAACATTAGAAATGTTTCTAGAAAGTAAAATGTAACTTGACTATAAATAAAGATATTAAATCTGTACTTGATTTCACCTTAGACACATACATCTTTAAATTTCACTACTTAGGGGAGCCTGGATGGCTCAGTCAGTTGAGCATCGACTCTTGGTTTCAGCTCAGGTCACAATCTCAGGGTCCTAGAATCTAGCCCCACGTTGGGCTCCGAACTCAAGGGGGGAGTCTGAGAGTCTCTCTGTCTCTCTTTCCCTCTGCCCCTCCCCCGGCTCGGCTCAGTGCTCTCTCCCTTTCTCTCTCTCTCTCAAATAAATAAATCTTCAAATTTCAGTACTTAATTATGAATGGGGTAGGGATTAAAGCCAATTTGCCTAAGGGGAAGAGACTACTCAAACTGTAGTCACCACCAGCAACAGCATCCCCTGGGAGCTTGCTAGGAGAAATTTTTGGGTCCCACCCCAAACTAAGTGAATGAGACTGGGGGTGGAGGGGGGGACAGGATATGTGTTTATTTAGCAAGCTCATCAGGTGATTCTTGCTTTGGGCTATTACAGACCATGTAATTCATCTCTAAAAGTCTCTGATTATAGGAACTGTGACTATGGCTAGGTAAAAATCTGAGGAAAGGAACTTATAACCAACATATGAAAACTGGTAATTTGGGTCCTAAAGAGATGTTTAAACATTTAACCTAATTAAATAGGATATTTGAACATTCTAGCACAACCTGATGAAATTACGGATTAACAAATCTTTTAACCTATTAATTAGCATTATTCATCTGAAAAATAAGCACATGACTCCACTGAATTATTTGGACCCCACTTTAGAAGTACAAGAGGACTCTGAAGACATAGGCTACAGCTTTGGGAGGAAGTACTCCCCTGTTCTGAGCCCTGCCATTTCCCTTGGAAGGTTGCTGTGTGCCCCCAAACACATCTGCTGATGTCTTGAGTTGAGAGGCAAGCAGCAATGGAAGGTAAGTCCAGCAATAAAGAAGAAAAAAAATTCTGCCAAAGACCAAGATCCTCCTGCTCTTATGACCTTAAGCTAGGCACCCTTATTGCTGGATAGGAAAATGGTATTCAAAGAGTGGGGAGCAGGACAGGTGAAGAGTGACCTAACGATTGGATGTCCCTTACAGCGCTATTTTATCCTGGTTACCTACAGTGCCAAGGAAAGACAAAGACTACGTGCTCGGGGCGCCTGGGGGGCTCAGTCGTCAAGCGTCTGCCTTCGGCTCGGGTTGTGATCCCGGGGTCCTGGGATCGAGCCCCGCGTCGGGCTCCCTGCTCAGCGGGAAGCCTGCGTCTCCCTCTCCCGCTCCCCCTGCTTGTGTTCCCTCTCTCGCTGTGTCTCTCTCTGTCAAATAAATAAGTAAAATCTTAAAAAAAAACAAAGACTACGTGCTCTTTTCATCCCTAATAAGCTGCATGACTCGACTTGGGGTGGCACAGAAGAATGGAAAACACCAGAAAGACCTAAAATCAAATCCACAGTTTGTTAACTGCTACCTATGTGACTTTAAGCACATTATTTAAACTCTATGATTAAGTCTCTAGGAGTCTCTAATCCCTATTCTACAAAACAGAGCTAATTAATATCTACTTCACAGAGACGGTGTAAAATTCAATGGCACTATAAACATAAAATGCATAGTGTCTTGCATACTTAAATACTAATTATACTACTGCCCCAGCTTCAAACTCAGAAGCCATGGGTAAGTCAACAACAACAAATTCAGGACCATTATTAACTTGGATAGAAATAAAAAATAAATGGTGCACCTGGGTGGCTCAGTCGGTTAAGCGTCTAACTCCTGATTTTGGCTCAGGTCATGATCTCAGGGTCATGAGATCAAGCCCCGCATGAGGCTCTGTGGTCAGCCAGGAGTCTGCTTGAGATTCTCTCTCTCTCTCTCCCTTTGCCCCTCCCCCCACTCTCTCTTTCTCAAATAAATAAAATCTTTAAAAAAAAAAGAAATTTAAAGGAAAAAGTTGCCTGATTCCACAAGTACCTCATGAAATAGGTGGCTTTAATGCTCTGTTTACATCTCTAGAGTCCAGCCAACTGATAGATTTTCGCCTAATATTTCCTTTCTATTTTGTCAGTACTAGTTTTAAAAAGATATTTTATATGTTTCATTAGGGGTTTCTGTTGCTATTTTTGGCTGCAGGGTAAAACTACACATACTGTAGCCATAACTGGGAATAGAAGTTATGGCTAACTTTATATACGAACCTTGAACTTTATTATTCATTACTTAAAGTTAACTACAATGCTGGGTTACAAACTGTTAAGACAATAAAACATTATGCGTTGTCTTAAAAAAAAAAAAATCCATGGGCAACTTGATCCAGAAAGGCTTTCCTGAAGATAAATTGTTTTAACTACACAGGGCAACTAATATAATTCAGCCCGAAAGGAAGAACAGAAAAGAGAGATGGGGCAGGACTACTTCTTCCTCTCTTAGACCACAGAGAGTCATCCTCAGGGGGTTTAGCAGTTAAAGATTCATTTGAGGCAAAGTTTAAATGTAGGTATAATGAGCATGAACCAAATGTGTCAGAAAATCAGACTACCTAAAACATAACTGGGATCAGTAGTAATGAAAATCTGGTTGGCAGAAGAGGTCACTTTGGAACTACAGCACTTAGAGGATGAACAAGGGAAGGGATGTGAGGAGGAAAGACGATGCACTGTGCACTAAGTGTCCAAGCGATGTTGGAGAGAGGGGCTGGGGGAAAAAAGGGGCACAGAATGTGCAAACCAGAAAGCTACAGACAGTGATCCTCTCCAAAATTTTACTAAATGTCTTGCCAAAGGGCTTCTGTTCACCTGAAAATCTTTTAACTAGATAATGCCACAAACTACCCACCCTTCGTAATCAGTGTATCTAGGGAATCAACAGTTTAAGCAACCACAAGAATAAAAGCCATACAGTAACATGAATCAGAGAACAATGGGAAAATTTTTCATATAGGCAAAAAAGTCAGCCCCTACCTCAGAACATTTTCCTTTGTAGCTATTCAACCTTCGTTCCATTCTTCGCAACCACTGAATCAACTGTTCTTTGCTGAGACTGTCTAAATTGGGGAGTGAGTCTTCGGGCTCACTCTCCATATCAGACGATGGATCAAAGGTGGCCACAGAGGAGTCCAGGTCAAATCGATTCAGGGACTCTCTGGAAGATGTTCGTACCAAAGACTCTTTAGAAGAAGATCGGAAGAGAGATTCCTTTAGTGGACTTCGAAACAAAGACTCCATAGAAGGCACCCGGAGCTGGAGCTTCTGTGCAAAAGACTGCATGTCACCAGACTGTAACCGAAATCCAACGAAACATGGTTAAAATGCACATTTAGACTTTCAGTATTCTCTATCACCATAAATAATCTATTAAAAACTCTAACATGGGGTGCCTGGGTGGTTCAGATGGTTAAGCGTCTGCCTTCAGCTCAGGTCATGAACCCAGGGTCCTGGGATTGAGCCCCACATTGGGCTCCTGGCTCAGCAGGAAGCCTGCTTCTCCCTCTCCCTCTGCCTCTCCCCCTGCTCATGCTCTCTCTCTCTCTCTGTGTCTCGAATGAATAAAATCTTTTTTTAAAAAAAGCCTCTAACAAATTCAATTTATACTCCTGACATTGTACATAATACATTGTTTTCTGAAAAACAAGAGACATCTCGTTATTTCTGAAAAAGCACTGGACCTGGAGTCAGAGGACTCAGGTGTAGGTTCCAGGTTCGTCACCGAACAGTGGAACAAGCTTCACTAAGTCACTTCCCTTCAGTTTGCACATCTGTAAAAAAGACGGATGCCATGCTTTCCCAGCTGACCTCACAGGTATGCTGTGAGGATTCGTCCCCTCAACTCTAAGATCCTTGGAAGCAGTGTTATCTGCATCAGCAGTACATACCCAGTGCCTAAAAGCAGAGTATATAATATGAAGTGTGAAGTGTGTGGCTGAAATCAAGTGGGCTTTACCTTGAGTCTGTATGGAGGTGCTAATTCCTCATCACTCCCTTCAACAAAAGAGGGGAATGGGGGAAGGGTGAGGGTAATGCTTAGTGAGCCCACTTTGTTCAATAAGAGAATGCCAGGCAGAGTTGACTAGTGGCATCCAGCTCTGCTCTAATTATCATTCTGTCTACTGGGAATAAAAATAAATATAAGATAAAAAATAAAAATAAGCATTAAAAAATCATGGAGGGCAGCTGAAAAGTCTGAGCTTGAGTCCCTCTGCACAGAGTCCCTCTGCAGAGATCACTAAGTCTGATGTTAGAAATAGTAATAAGCAGGGGTGCCTGGGTGGCTCAGTCGGTTAAGCAGCTGCCTTTGGCTCAGGTCATGATCCTGGGGTCCTAGGATCGAGCCCCGCGTCCAGCTCCCTGCTCAGCAGAGAGCCTGCTTCTCCCTCCGCCTGCCACTCTGCCTACTTGTGCTATCTCTCTGTCAAATAAATAAAATCCTTTAAAAAAAAAAAGTGATAAGCAAGAGCTGTTCTCTTAATTTGAGTAACATTCATTTCTTTTTTTTTTAAAGATTTTATTTATTTATTTGAGAGAGAGAGAATGAGAGACAAGAGAGCACGAGAGGGAAGAGGGTCAGAGGGAGAAGCAGACCCCCCCGCTGAGCGGGGAGCCTGATGTGGGACTCAATCCCGGGACTCCAGGATCATGACCTGAGCCGAAGGCAGTCGCTCAACCAACTGAGCCACCCAGGCACCCAAGTAACATTCATTTCATTAGTAACAATGAAAAATAGTGTAATTCAACAACCTGCTTTAAACTACAGTATTTTGTTCAGGTTACAGCAGTCAGTATTTAATAGGTGCTTCCAACAAACTCATTCTCATTAGTGCCACAGGGTCACCTGCAAGATCTCAGCAATGCCAGGAATGAATGCTCAGAGAAGACTGAGGTCATGTGTGGGCAAAGATTACAGGAAAAGAAAAAGATTCTCTTTAGTATCCAATTTTAAAAATCAAACCAAGAATACTTTACTCATGGATTTTAGAGATTTAGTAATAGTATTAGGCAAGGTGGGAGTAAGTAAGAGGGGATAACATGCCCCACCCCCTTCATATGCACAGAGATTTATCACAGGTTGTTTGTAATAGTCAAAACTGGAAGAAACCCAAATGTACACCACTAGAGGATACATGATGTAAATTAAAATACATGAAGGGAGGTTCAAGACATACTATTAAATGGGAAAAACCAAGTTAGAAAACAATATGCATATTGTGAACTCATTTTGATTTAAAGCAACGACATGTACTTTTCAATATACATGCATATGTGTAAACATATGTGTATGTTCACACAAACACCCTTAGAATCAGGTCATTAAGAATAAACACCAAAAGTTAACAGTGAGTGATGCCGTGTGGTAAAATTTTAGGTGGTTTTTTAAATTTTCATTTTTTGTATTTTTTTGTACTTTCTAGGGTTTTTTTTCATAATGTGTAAGTTTTGCCCGTATATTAGGGGAGGGGGGAGATGGAGAAAGTCTTAAGGAAGAGGAGAGACCTTTATGCTCAAAAACCTTTAAGAACTGCTTTACTGATATTCCATTACCAGCCACTTCTGACCTAAGCCAAAAGTGCTTTTCCCTTCACACAGCAAGTTGCCCTAGGACAAACAGGTGAAGCAAGTTTGAATAACACTAGAAATAGCTGGTTTAGAATCAGCCAAAAGCTAATGAACAATGTCAAAGACATGTATTTGCAGAAGCTGATACACTTAATAACTGCCACCTCCACCATACTGGGAAGTAACATGTTTGAGTATAGTGATTCAGCCTGTGGACTGTTGAGTAAGGGTGCCTGAGTTCAAACCCTGGCTCCACCACTATGTTCTACATGACCCTGACCAAATCACTTCACTAGTCTTATTTCCCCCTCTGTAAAATGGGGATGATAAAAATAATTATATGATGATAATAGTCATACCAGCCATCTCATATGGAGGCCACAAGGACTAATGAGTTAATACATGCAAAGTGCTTACAATGTAGCAAATACTCAATAAACATTAGCAATTGTCATTAATATTAGAGAAAGAAGAATAAAACAAAAAACAAACTTACAAATAAGAATGTCATATACAAGCTTATGTGGCAGAGTCTTCTGATTATATGATGTGGTAGCTAAGAGCACAGGCTATGAAACCTGACATCTTGGGACCAAATCTTAGCTCTCCCATTTACTGGCAATATGACCTTAAACAAGTGACTTAACCTTCTGTGCCTCTGTTTCTTCATATGTAAAATGCGGATAGCAACTACTCACCTCATAGGGTAGTTGTGAGGAGTAATAAATCAATACATATGCAGTACTCCGAAGTATGACTGGCTTAAGGTGAACAACATATACTGGCTACCATCTGATATCCAATCTTCTTTTCTTTCTTTTTACCAGACCCCAATTTTGTTCAGAGTAACAATACACCCAGGTAAAAACATTCACCTTCCCAAATTCAAATTAAAGCCACAGGAGATACGACCGTACGTCCACCAAAATGGCTAAAATTAAAACTATGGAAAATACCAAGTATTGGTAAGGATGTGGAGCAGTCCACTTTGGAAAACTATTTGTCGGTATTTACTAAAACTAAACACGTGTACACAATCTGAATCAGTAATTTCACTACGATGTATATACTCAATAGAAAGGTGTAAATATGTTCAACAAAAGACAAACTAGATAGTTTATAGCAAACTTATTCAAAATAGCTCCAAACTTGAAGCTACTGTTGATGACTATGAATAACCAAATAGATACATTGCAGTCTGTTCACCAATGGAATACTAGACAGCAATGAGAATGGTTTACAACCACGACAATATAGATGAATCTCATAAATAAAGTACCGAGCAAAAGAAGACAGACACAAGAGTACCCATTTTTACTCTGTTTACATAAATTTCAAAAACGGGCAAAATTAACCTAGATGAAAGATAGAAGTTACCCCTGGGAGTAAGAGCAGGGAATGGAAGGGAGCACAAGGGCTTCTGGGATACTGGTAATTTCTGTTACTTGATTTGGAGCGTTGGTTACAAAGGTATAATAAGTTCAGCCACTATTGTACTATTTACACTAAGTGGAAATCTATAAAATAGAACCTTCTAGGACAGGTATTATTTTCTTTATAAAAAGGAATATGGCTTTAGTCCTTGTCTTCAGTCTTTCCTCCTGTCTAAAATGAAGGTGCAATTCCTGGAGGACAACTTGTAGTAGTGAGGGTGAAAGGCAGTGGCAAGGATGTGGGGGGACAAGAGGCTGAAGGGAGAAGGGCCCTTAATCCTCAGGCCTTCTGATATGTGAAAAACTAAACTCCCACTCGTGCCAACTGTTGTCAGGTTTCTGATCCAAAGACATTCACCAATTTGGAATTCATTTTTGAAAAAACTGAAGGGGGTTAGAGAAGGAAAAATATATATGCAAAAGTAAATGAACACATCAGAGTTACTTTTAATTCCTTTCTGTCTCCCGTTTGACCCTGTTTTCAACCCCTCCTTTTATTCCCCCAACACTGTTCTTGTTCAGACCCTTATCCTCATATCAGCTGGATACCTGCAGCAGCCTCGTGTTCTCTTGCCTCTAATCTCTTACCCCAATCTACCCTGTTGCACTGTCACCACAGAATTGTCTTCCTAAAACATCATCCAGACCATTTCATTCCAATTCTTAACCTGGGTTCTCATTTAATATAAAGTTCAAAATCCTTAGCTTATATTTAAGGTTCCCATTTCCCAAGACCCTTTTCTGTGTAAATTCACCCCTCCATGTACCAAAACCTTGAGTCATAACAGGCAACTTCCTGCCCCGGAACAAATGCATCATTGTGTGCCTCTGTACCACTGCCCATAATTTTCCTGCATAGGAAAATCCAGACATCCTTCAAAACTCAGCTCGAATGTCAGCTCTTCTAGGAAACCTCAGATCTCACTCATCAGAAGTAACCTCTCTTGATGGCCTTAGCTTTTACTAGAACCATTACTGGAGCGCTTATTGCATTCTGACTCAACATTAGTTACTTACATGCTGGTACAACAACTGAGTTGTTTATGCCCCAGAATAACTACAGTGACATCACAGCACAGTGATTAAGAACACAGACTCTGAACCAAATTCCCTGATGTGAATTGCAGCGTTACCACTTGGTAGTTTGTAGTTTTAAGGCCTCTGTGTTTCAAAATGGAAATAATAAGAGTACTACCCTAGTAGGATTGTTATATAAGAATTAAATGAATGAAAACATTTAAAATATTTAAAATAATGTATTATATGCAGTAAGCACTAAGTTTTCCTGTCATTATCTCTTCCTCACACACACCCTCACCCCAGACTTCATGCTCATTTAGAAAAGAATCCATATTCCCCATCTCTGTCTCCTTGCCACAGTGCTTTCCATAAAGCAGCTGCTTAGTACACACTTGTTCAGTTATATCTTAATCTATCAAAATGATAATGATGATCTAATAAGAGATATTTAAACATTCAGTGCTTTGGTCAAAACGAGATGTATCAAGCACATCATTTTACAGATAGAGTATATGTTATTCTAGAAATCATCAAAAAGTATTAGTACACAATCCATAAGTCAAAAAGAAAAAGGAAGAAATGAAAACACACATCCACAAAAAGATTTCTACAATAATGTTTAGTAGTTCTATTCATAATAGTCGAAAACTGGAAACAGCCTAGGTGTCCATTAACAGGTAAATAAACTGTACAATATCTCTTCAAAGGAATCCTATACGAAAATGTAAAGGAACAAACTACTGATAACCACAATAACGTGGATGAAATCTCAAAAACACTATGGTGAGTGAAAGAAGTCCTACAAAAGAGTACATACTACATACATGAGGCTACTTTATATATAAAGTTCTAAAACAAGCAAAACTTGGTATGGTGGAAAAAATTTTTAAAAGATTGCCTCTAGGAGGGAGAAGAACCATAAAGGAACTTTCTGGGGTGTTGATAATGTTCTATATTTCTGTATGCGTTTAGCATATGGGTTTGGCATATATATTTGTTAAAACTCAGTTAATGCACACTTGAGGATTATATATTTCATTTTACTTAAAATTTACCTCAAAAAAGGACACAACTCCTAGAAGAAAAGATAGGCAGTAAGCTCTCTGACATCAGTCTTAGCAGTATTTTTTGGGGCCAGTCTCCTCAAGCAAGGGTAACAAAAGCTAAAATAAACAAATGGGATTACATCAAACTAAAAAGCTTTTGCAGCACAGTGAAGGAAACCATCAACAAAACAAAAAGGCAACCTACTGAATTGGAAAAGATATTTGCAAATCATACATTTGATAAGGGATTAATATCCAAAATATATAAAGAACTTACACAATATAAAGAAATTTTTTAATGGGCAAGGACTTGAATAGACATTTTTCCAAAGAAGACATGCAGATGGCCAATGGGCATGTGAAAAGATGCTCACCATCATCAGGGAAATGCACACCAAAACCACAACGAGGTATCACCTCACAGTAGTCAGAGTGGCTATTATCAAAAACACAAAAAATAGCAAGTGCTGGTGAGCATGTAGAAAAAAGGGAACCCTGGCTCACTGTTGGTGGGAATGTAAACTGGCACAGCCACTATGGAAAACAGTATGGAGGTTCATCAAAAAATAGAAATTAAAAATAGAACTACCATACGATCCAGCAATTCCACTTCTGGGTACTTATCTGAAACAAAAAAATGAAAACACCAACTCAAAGAAAATATATGTATCCTTACATTCACTGCAGCATTATTTACATTAGCCAAGATAGAGAAGGAACATCTAAGTGTCCTTCAATAGATGGACAAAGAAGATGTGATATATATATATGTATTATATATATAACAGGAATATTACAGGAATATATATATAAGAATATTACTTAGCTACATAAAAAGAATGAAATCTTGCCATTTGTGAACCTGGATGGGCCTAGACGGTATTATGCTAAATGAGGTAACTCAGACAAAGAAAGACAAATGCCCTATGATTTCACTTATCTGTAGAATCTAAAAAAAAAATAAAACAATACAGACTCAAAGATACAGGAAACAAACTATTGGTTGCCAGAGTGGGGAGGGGTCTGGGGAATAAGGCAAAATACGTAATGAGAATTAATAGGTAGAGCCTTTCAGTTATAAAAGAAAGAAGTCAGGGGGATGTAATGTACAGCATAGGGAACACAGTAATACTGTAATAACTTTGTATGGTGACAGATCCTGGTAACTAGACTAATCAGAGGGATCATTTCCTAACATATAAAAATATCAAATCACTATGATGTACACCTAGTATGAAACTAAAGGTATATTGTATGTCAATTATACTTCAATCTAAAAAAAAATCTAGGGAGATAACTCCCTTTTCGTCAGATAAATTAACTAAAGTAAATTTTCATCATGATTCATTACTATAGAACCACTAGGCTGTGTGTCATGAGTAGCTATATACATAATTATACCACTAATTAAACCTCTGAAACTAATCAATTCCATATCAAGGTCCCTTAAAATTTGATTTAACTTGTTTTTTTCAACTTGATAATTAATTCTTATATATGGTATTTCTCTCTTCTTAAATTAATTAAAGCATTAATACTTAAAAACAAATACTGAACTCTGATTAATGATGTACATGCTAAAATATTAGGGGGAAGGATACTGTGACCTGCAACTTACTTTGAAATACATCAAAAACGTAAAATGGATTGAGGGGCAGATAGAAGAATGTATACTGGGACAGATTTGTGATAAAGCAAGTATAGTAAAGTACCAATGATAGAATCTGGGTGGTACACAGATGCTCACACTAAAGTTCTATTTCTCTATGTGTTTGAAAATTTTCATAATATACTGTGATGAAAAGAAAAAAGGAGTAAATGCTTGTTAAATCATGATATTGTGTGCCAAAACCAACTGATTTACGTAGGATGTCTGACCCAGTAATAAGGGGATCACAGGCAGCTATGCTTACGAACTCTTGGGCTTGCTTTGTACCATCTCTTCTTCTACCTTGGTGTCAACTCTGATTTCCTGCTGCTGTCAAGATGCCCAATTATAGTAAGCATTCCACCCCCTTTAAGAATATACATTATTCCCAATTTGCTAATAACAGCCAACAACCAACTTGTCAGAAATGTGTTTAAAAATACACTCTGCGGGGCACCTGGGTGGCTCAGTTGGTTAAGCATTTGCCTTCGGCTTAAGTCATGATCACAGGGTCCTGGGATCGAGCCCCGCATCAGGCTCCCTGCTCAGTGGAGAGCCTGCTTCTCCCTCTCCCTCTGTGGCTCCCTCTGCGGCTCCCCCTGCTTGTGTGCTCTCTCTGTCTGTCTCTCTCTCTCAAATAAATAAAATCTTTTAAAAAAATGTTTGAAAAATAGACTCTGAGTAAAGGCATCTCCCTTATTAGAATCAAATGAGATCATATATGTAAAATGTTTAACAATGCCAGACACATACTAAATACTACTTTATTATTTTTTAGAAAAATAGTTGTATTTCTTAAAGAAATTTCAAAGCCTTCAGTGGGCTTACTTCCTGAATATTATGCATGTTCATTCTTCACCTTAATGAAAACTTAAATTTCTCCTGAATGTGTTATAAAGCTGGTTATCATTCATTCTAGTTTTTGTATTCATAACAGTATTTAGTCTTTTTGGACTATTCTAAGAGAGAGGAAAATAGGCATTCTAAATAATATTTTTTAATAATATTCACTAAAGATCACTGGATCTGTCCAGTACCATTGGTGCCTCCAAATATTTTACCCCTACTTCATGGCGCTCATAGAAAATGATATATTTGTAGAGGACTTTGAATTAACTAGGGAGTCTGGGCAAAGCCAGAGTCAACAAGCTCAGGGACTTGGACTATGCCTAGAACTTAACCACCCCCCAATGAAAGGAATGAGGTTCTCAGTTCATAGAATCTGTTCATGGAGTTTGGGAAGCTATAATCCGTACGCTTGCTAGACAATACTTTAGAATGTTTAGTTTACATAATTTAGTTCATAAATCATTTAGTTCATAAATCGTCTACATATATGCTCCAGGTTCACAGATTAAAAATGTTTTTGCCCTACATTAGAGACTGCTGAGAATGGCCAGGTTAATGATTATATCATCATCAAAGGCAAAGTAAACAGATGTCCATCTCAGACACTGCTGCCATTATGACGTTTTTAATGAATTTTTTTCTTTCTTTTTTGGAAAGAGTCAAAAAAATGTCACTTGAGCTGTACTCCCCAAATAACTTCTAAATCAAAGATAACACAAGTTTTCTAGTAGTAAAATACTATGCATTAGAGCCAACTTTAAGAGAAATCCCATTTCCTCCATCTCCCCACCTTCTAAATTAAGAACTCAATGTCTTTAGATATAAACTGTTCATAATCTTTTACAACTATAAAGTCAGATTCCTTTTTTTCAAAATTTTTCTCTTCACTGCCGTTAATTTTTTAAGTGAGTAACAATGGCATGTTACATGACTGGTGTATATACATGAACTACTTTCATTTAAAACTGTTTCCAAGAAAGCATCAACCAACCTGGATTTACCATACATATTATATGAAATGTATGGACATCACTATTTCAATGAAAGTCAGGTGCTAATAATACAGATTGACCAACACTCTGAAACGAATTGCTATTTTCTAAAATAACATCAGTAACAGACCTGAGGAGTTGTTGGTTCACTTCCATTAACACTGTCGGAAGATTTCGTGGCTTGGATAGATGCATTCTAAGAAAAACAAAGAAACATCATAAAGAAAAGAAACAAAAAGCTAAGCTTTTAAAACTGTTAAGAACAAAAACCAAGTACCAAAACCTATTAGATACATTTATCAAACAAAATTAGTTCATTTATTAGAATGTTTTCATGCAAGGCAAAACTAGTATGGTGAGTATTTAGAAAATTTATTTTGCTCTATGTAACTAAATAGCAAAGATTAGTATGTAGCAAAGTTTATTTTAAACTAATCACATACCTCTCCCCATTATAATGTCCCCGGTTTTGTCCCCCATGACAAAATTAACATCAGGGATTCAATTAGCAAAACTCATTCAAATAGACAACTATCCAGGAAAATGTCAAATGTTCCCTATGATAAGATAATACTCAAATTAAAGTTATTTGGGCTAAGACCTGAAACACATCTTTCTAACAAGAAATGGAAATGCCTCATTCATCTGAAACCAGCAATCTAAATGAAATTATTATGGCAATTTTCAGAAAAACTTATAAAATCTTCCACACGTGAAAGCTTTTTGTTTTGTTCTGTTAGTATGATGAATGTTCTAAGTGACACTACATCATTCTGGCATTGGTTCCATGATAATGAATGAGATTGTTCGAGATTCAAAATTCTATACTGCCTTCGTAATACACTAACCAAAATTAGAGCTATATAAGTAGCTCATGATAAAATAACTTTCAAGTTTTAAACTAAGCATTAGAGCAAATACTAGCCACTATGTTTCAGTAAGTTGGTAGTTAAATTAGACATTCCCCATACATTTCCATAGTGGACCAAGGAAGGGTCAAATACCTGACCTTACTTATTCTTAAATATAAGTGGAGAAGGCACTTGGCTTTGCAAGTGTTCTCAAATTTTTGAACTCTCATTAGGTATTTGATACTAAGAAATTATTAATTTTTAGATGTGATAAATGTATTGTTATATATTTTTAGTCATTATCTTTTAGAAATATATACCAAAACATTCAGATGGAATAAGGTTTTGAAACTTGCTAATAATGCAACAGAGATGGAGGCAGGGGAAGGGAGGTGTGCATGTGTGGGTCGGTGGTTAGAGAAGCACAGGTGTATGACAATAAAATAAGATGGCCATGAGTTATTAACTGAGGATATTGGGGGACGTGAGAGAGTTCTTATACCACTATCACTACTTCCACTTTTGGTTTGGATTTTTCTCTAATAACAACTGAAATACCTTCTCCCTCTAATATAAAAAGAGTTTTGGGTGGAGAGCCTGCTTAAGATTCTCTCTCTCCCTCTCCCTTTGCTCCCGCTGCCCCCTGCTCGTATGCAGACACACTCTCTCTCTCTTTCAGGGCAAGAAAAAAAAAAGTCATCAAATTTTATCAGTCCAAGACATTTTCCTTTGAGTTACACAGGGGAGAAAAGTTGGGGGAACATAACTTTTATCTTCCTGTTCTCTGCCATTTCAAAGAATTGCAAGTTGTATATATGGCTATATTTGTGTAGCGTGATAATTAATGCTTGCTGGCCCTAAAAATATACTATGCTACACACTATACAATAAAAAACATACTTTATAGAGTCTGACAAGTCTTTCAGTCCATATGTTGAAAATTAACAGTTAAATTATGGAGAAAGGAAATGAAATGGTTCCCTAAAATATTTTAAGTTAGGAGGAAGACTGGTGAGAGAGTCCATATTCTACTCTTAAGTTACTTGACACATGATTGTGATCCATACGAAAAGCTATTCTATAATTGTTTGACCTATCACCCTACCAGACAAACACAACCTAACATTTAAAAACTTTCCCTCCCTGCATATATATTTCAATACATGTATTATACCATATATCTAAATAAATGCAGGGCAGTTAAAGAAAGAATTGGTCATGTTATCTTGTAAATTTAAATTACAAAACTGTATAACCAAATTAAAGATTATTAAACTACCTGAAATGCCTTCTTCATTTCTGCCCAAATTCTCATTTACCTTTCAACTCTCAAATGCAGCTTCTTTAATGAAGCTTCATATGGCTTGCCTGAGGGCTAACACATTCCCTATGCCTGTATTTTCTTCTGTGAAGGTTTAATTCCTTTGTATTTCAAGCATATGTCTCCATACTAAACTATAAACTCTTGGAGGGCAGGAACCCTGTATTTTCGTCTTGGTCCCCAGGACCTAACTTCTGCCTGACTGGTGGTAGAAGTTCAGTATATGCTTGTCAAATCCTTATGCAGTTACTTCCTTCAGTATAAAAAGACTTCTGAAGTCCTTCTCCCAGAGAGAAGCTCAACTCATGTTAATACTCAACTGTCACCAATACTTTCTCCTGGGGGCAATCCTAAGACAAGAGAAAAATTCTTCTATTCTAACGTGCATCTAATTTAAGAGCACACACAGGTTCCCTGCCAGACTTATCTTCAATTATGTTTTGTTCAATCTTTCAACAACTATTTATTGACTGCTGAGCACTAAGCAATTTTTAGAATTCGGGGTCATTTTTCAAAAAACTGAATTAGCTAAAAGTCAACAGCTGATGAACTCATAAGTACACCCTCACTAAATCTGTATTCCATTATAGGTCATGTTATGGTTTCCCTTTGTTACATGGAGAGAAATTTTTATCTGAACAAAATTTAAATAAGATTAATGAAGACTTTTAGTCTACTTAAATTATTTTTAAATAGTTAAAAAGCCTCTATTCTAAAATCATTAGCATTTTTCATAATAGAAGAGGTACTTAAGTTACTTTTATGTAGGGCGCCTGGGTGGCTCAGTTGGTTAAGCAACTGCCTTCAGCTCAGGTCATGATCCAGGAGTCCCTGGATCGAGTCCCGCATCGGGCTCCCTGCTCGGCGGAGAGTCTGCTTCTCTCTCTGACCCTCCCCCCTCTCATGTGCTCTCTCTCTCATCCTGTCTCAAAAAAAAAAAAATCTTTAAAAAAAAAAGTTACTTTTATGTATATGGAAGTGGGCCTTGGAGTTCTTTTAAGTCTCTGTTACTATTACATGAAGTATAAAGTAATATCATTTTGTGTTTTTAAAGTAAATTGGTAAGTTATCTTTAACTGGGACTCCTGTCTCCCTCTCAAACCAGTTTTGAAAATAGTGAGGTGTTACTTATAGCCAGAACGAAGGAGAGACCCTCTGCCCTAAGATCCAAGCTAGGGCACCACTAAAACCCTCAGGTGCTTTCTTCTCTAAAACCAAACTCAGGGTGCCTGAGTGGCTCAGAAGGTTGAGCATCTGCCTTTGGCTCAGGTCATGATCCCAGGGTCCTAGGATTAAGCCCCATGTTCGGCTCCCTGTTCAGCGGGGAGTCTGCTTCTCCCTCTCCCTATGCCCCCACCCCATTTGTTCTCTCTCTCTCAAATAAATAAAATCTTTTAAAAATTAAAAAAAAAAAAAACCCAAGTACAGAATGTAATTTAGGATTGCTACTGACCATATGCAGACCAAGTTTTTACTGGCTGCCTGGATTAAGTACAGAAATGTTCTAATTTCATCACAAGCTACTTTGTAAATTAAACCAGTTCTCATCATTTAAGAAAACCTTAATCCCAAATCAGTCAGTGTGCAATGCAACAAAAAAAGCTATCCTTACTGGGTAATCAAACATCTGTAAGTTTTTAATTTTCCTATATTAAGAACTTAAGACACATATAAAAACAGTCTACTTTCTCAGAGTGAAATCATACACAAGATTCAAAATTATATGAATTCAGTCAATTGAAAAATAATGAGATAATTACTTCCTTTCAGATGTATAATATATAGAAAACTGGTATTCTCCCAGAATAAGATGCAATTATTTGTTACAGTAGAATCCACCTACCTGCTCAATGTTGTTCAATTACGGATTTACATACAATGCTTTTTTTTTTCTTAAAATTTGAGTCACATCTCAAAATATTCTTGGCCTCCTACCAATAGTAAGACAGAGATTTCTAGTAATACATACCATTTTTAGTTAATGTGCAAACATTCCCTAGAGAGAAAATTTAGAGTTTAGACCAAGTTGAAGGTAGTCTTCACCACGTTAATGAGAACAGTGTTATTTTGTTGTTGTTAAAAAACTACCAGAAAACACACCAGCCATCAGAATTCAGCAATTCACTCTGATTTTTTAGAGCAGGGTTAGCAACAAGGCACTGAAGATGCTTTGAGAGACAGTGACAAGCAGCATGAGATTTGCTTCTAGAATTATCAAATTACTTTGCTTCCCCACAAAGGGAATGCAGAAAGCGGTGGAAGGACTCACCACACTGTCAGTCTGTGTTTTAGGCTGTTTGGAGGAATCCAAAGCAAAAATAGTATACTCAGAGAGAAAAGCAGGCTCTGCTATCATCCCGGCTAGTAGCTGTCTCATTCAGTGTAAGAAGCAGAAGTATAAAAATAAAACAAATAATGAAAAAGAGATCACAATAAGAGCATGCTGCAAAGTGTTCTCTCCACGCAGCATAAACAACACTACAGTGGCCTTGCCCCACCGCAACTGCTACCATCTCTCCACCCACAGAAATAACAAGTTACTGGGAAGGTTAGCAATGGAGAGGAGTTGAGCAGTTTAGAAACTCAAAGCCCAACCTGAACCAACTTGCTTACTGGCATACAAATGATATATGCAACAGCCACCACTGCACACCGCTTGTCTGCCAATTTGGTGTAAGAGTCTAAACCAATAAAAAACCATACATGGTAAAGAACACAAAGCCTTAATATAACAAATACCAACCATTTTTATGCATTCAAAAAGACAGCATTGAAATTTATGGGGAGGACAAAACACATAAAATTTTAAATCATTTATTTTGTACTTAGAAACAAAAATAGTTTTCTCCAACATGTACAAAGGAAACTTTCGAAACTGAAATTCATATAACAAGTTTTAAGGATAAATTCTTTTATACTAATTCTTGTAATATGTATTCTCTTCTGTCCTTCAGTCTTCTTTCAGAAACTATATACACCAAAATATTAATAATCATGAATTAGATTTAGAAGAAATTATAATTA